AGGGACCGAGGATGGGTGTAGAATTGCAGCTGTGGAGCACGAGGGACGGAACGGGTTTAGAATGAACGAGAAGTTGAACATAATAGGGGCGCGGGAGGAGGAGGGGCGGGAGGAGGTGGGGGAGGGTGCCCACGCATGGTTTCTGCAGAAACAGCGAACGCCTGCTTCTTGCCGAGCGCGCGGCCTCAAAATTGCCCCTATAACCCAGGCGCGGTGGCGGGGTGTACTGAGAGACGAGCGAAAGTCCACAACCCAGGCACGGCGGCGGCGCGGTTTGAAGCCCATTGGCGGAGCGGCGCTCTGCTATTGGGAGTAAAACCATTGGTTTGAAGCAGATTAACGGAACGACGCCCCGCTAATGGGAGGGCAACGTTGGTTTGAAGCAAGTTCGCAAATATGCTGATTCTCACGTTTCCTTCCAGGATAAGACAACCACGCGCACATGATGTTAAGAAGAAATCAGCGTGTGCGTTTTGGATTAATTTCTGAGGCCCTTAGATTTTTGTCCATTTATGTCTTTTTGGTTTTGTATTGTTTTCCATTGGTTTTGGATTGTTTTCCATTATCGACCGGGCTCCGGCCTGTTGGACGCGTGGGACCGCACAGGCAATGGTCGCCCTTGGCACGTCGAGGTGCTGGGCCTTCTGGGGGGCACTTGAGGGTTCAGTGAGCGGTCGCGGACCCGTGCGGGGATCGACGTGCGACGTGTCGGAAGGCTCCGAGTGTTTCACAGACTGCGCAACTGCCATGATTGCCACGGTGGCCGAGGAGGGCTCCACAAGCTCCGGGTCGCCAGGCCGTCGCCGCCGCCGGCGCCCCCGCGGGCGCCGCCGCCGCAGCCGACGCCGCCGTCGCGGTGGTCGCCGTAGTGGTCGTGGTGGTGGTGGTCGTCGTCTTCAGACGTGTGATCGGACGATTGCACGTTCTGGAGCGTGCTTTCTTTTTCCAGAACCTCTGGACTCTGAAGATTTGTGGGGCCTCCGGAGCTCTCCTGAAACTCCCACAAGCCCTCAACAAAAGCTGCACAGGACACCCTGGGGTGGCGCAAAGGGGCACCAAGGGAGTTCCCAGAGCGCCCCCCGAGCCCCATCAATTTCACACATTTAGAGCTCTTGAGGGCCGTCTGGGGGCATCTTGGACGGAAACCTCGAATAACTGTTTTGGGCTCCTGCGTTCGGGCCTCTCGTGGGACCGTCTTGGGGCGTGTTGGACGCGTCTAGGGCCGCTGGGGGCCCCCCTAGGACGTCTTTGGGGCGCTCTCTGGGCGGTCCGTTTCGAGACGGTGTTGGGGGCCTCTTGGACGTCGTGGAGCTCTGGAAGCTGGAAAACTAGTGGACACGCCCGAAACCATGAACAAAAACGTTAAACCTCATGGTTTTTACCTCTTAGGGCCCTTTGGGGAACGCTCGGCGAGGTGGGGGTATCTTGGTACGGAAGGTTCGAAGTGTCTTTTCGGTCTCCTGCTCGTGGGTCCCTTGTGGGGCCGTCTTGGGGCCGTTTGGGCCCCTCGTGTGGCCGTCTTGGGACCCCCTTGGCCCGTCTTGGGGCGGTGTTGAGGGTATCTTTGGCCGTCTTGGGGCGGTCTTGGAAGCCTCGTGGGACGGCGTGCAGCGTCGGAAACTCGAAAGTCGAAAACCACCAACAGAATTCCAAACCTATGGTGAATCAATGGTTGTTGCCTCTTGGGGCTCTCTGGCGACTGAACGTCGAATCCTCTTGGACCGTCTTGAAGCTATCTGGGGCTGCCCGGAAGCCACATGGGACATCTCGCAGTGTTCTGATTCTGGTGTCACTGTGACGCCACGTAAGGCCGTCAGGGCCGCTCGGGCCGCTGGAGAAGGCACCAGGGGTGCCCGTACCTCCATGGCGAGCCGAGGCGGCTGGGAGGAGGCCCCGGCCTTGTACCGATATATCCGCCGATCCGGCGTGTGAGTTTAAGAAAGCTGCAGCCTGAGCTTCAGTTCTGCTGGGGGGGGGGCCAGGGGGGCTCTGCCGGGGTAGGGGGGGAGGGGGGGGGGTTCATCGGGTCCACCCTTTCTCTCCCCCCCCCCCCGGGAATCCCAAACCGCCCAAAGACGGGCCAAAAGGGGCCCAAGAGGCCACCAAGACGTTCCAGGAGGCGCCCGAAACGTCCCAAGAGCGCTCCTGGACGCCCAAGATGGCCTGAAGACGGCCCAAGAGGCCTCCAAGACGCCTCAAGGAGATCCCAAGAGGACCCCCAAAAGGGCCCCAAGAGGGTACAATAATAAAGTTGCTAATAGGTTTTGAAGCATTGTAGGATTCGAGGCGCCGAAAACGGTCCAAGAGGCCCCAAGACAGCCCAAGAGGCCCCCAAGAGGAGCCAAGACGGTCCAAGAGGGCCCCAATATAGCCCTGGAGGCCCCCCAAGACGACCCCGAAAGGCCCCCAAGATGGCCTCAAGAGGGTGAACCCGAACGGACCCTTCTAGTCCTCCACCCCAAAATGACCCCAAGAGCCCCCAAAATGCCCCCGAGGCGCCCCCAAGGGGCCCCCAGAGGCCCCCAAGAGGTCCCCAAGAGGCCCCCAAGATGACCCCGAGAGGTCCCCAAGAGGCCCCAAAGGCCCCCAAGAAACCCCAAGAACCAAGAGGCCCCAAGAGGCGCTCACTCGCGTGCTGCCAGGCCAGAGGTGCACGGCCTGACTTGGTATTGCTCGGAAGCGAAAGCGGTGAACGAAGAACCTTCCACCCGTCGCCGTCACCAGTCGTCGGTCGTCGGCCGCCAGTCGCCGTCAGTCGTCGCCGTCGCCGTCGTCGTCGTCGTCGTCGTCGTCGTCGTCGGTTCGTCGTCGTTAACTCCTTCGTCGGTCGTCGTCGCAATTATCCCGCTCGTCGACCGTTGGTCGTCCGTTGTCGTCGTCATCGTCCATTACGACAACAATAGAATCAGGAGCGCCCTGGATCGGCGGCAGTGGCCGGGGCCACTACAGCGTGTATATATATATATATACATACATACATACATGCACATACATAAACAAATGAAAATAATGATGTATATCAATATATACAGAGTTATTGTTTACATTAATCTGTACACACCTATCTATACATACAAAACATAAGTCCATGCATACATTACGTTGAACAACGTGCGGGGCACCAAGGGGCCCTCACCGAGCTCCGGCGTGCCTGTCAGCCCCGTACCCTGCCTCTTTCCGATGCGAGTCGGGCGGGGCGACTTCGAAAAACCTAGACGGTTCAGAAAAACCTGCTCGTCAACCCTTCTCCTACTCGACACACCATATATTCATTGGTCTGCGCGATTCGGTCAAAGCTCCACTGGAGCAGTAAACGGTTTCAACTTGACATGCAAATGTACGAATCCATGCAGATTGAGCCGAGGCGTACGGCCCCAGAGCGAGGCAGGGTCATAAACCGTCCCCCCACCGATTTTCCACGCGGCCCACCGATCCAAACACCAAGTTAGCATGGCGTCCCACCCGCATTTCGACTCACTCATCACACAGGTCGTGCCCCACAGAGATGCAATTTCACATGTGGACAAACTGGGGGAATCGCATCATGTTGACGGTCTCCTCACACGGATCGTACACCATAGGAAGCACAATTCGCATCCCGCAACCCCGGCCAAGTCAGCACACCCCTGACATGGATCGTGAGGTCGGGGCGTCTTGGGTGCCGTGCAACGCGCGAGCAACTCTGCATGCGGTGCCTTACGCCAAATCGGCGTTTTCCCCTTCCGAGCCCTTTTCTAGCCTCGGCCATCACCATGTAAGAGTGCCATCCGATGAGCCGTGATCGTCGAAGCTGCGTCCAAAAATCGCGCCTGCCGAACTCAGCATGCAGCCGTCAATCGCTGTGCCCCCCGTCCACACTGTGACCTGACCTGAATGTACACCTGGTCGCCGTTCATGTTGTAGGACAGTATGTGCGAGCAACAATAAGCCCGTATTGCATATCTGGAAGACGGCGACAATCACTCCGATCAGTCCAAGTGCCACGGGACACCCACCAACGGCATCAACTTCAGTACCTCATTCTCAAGGCCCCAAATCAGCAGCGAAGGCAGCGCCAATAACCCATGTTTCACCACGCATATGCTGTTGTGAAGCGTGTTGCGAAAATTGACGTAATAATGTGTGGCACCCCCCGGAACTGGCATGTGGAAAGTTGGTGGGAGACAAATATTTCCATTTGGTGCACGCACGGGCGCACACCACGCGACCAAGAAGAACAAGTGGAAGAGAAACATCCGGAAAACCGCAGATGGATAAGAATGGCGCGTCCGCGAAAGTGCACTGAAACAGGAAAGGCCACGACCAAATGCACTTGCACGCGCACTGGTAACTGTAAGGGTTCACCGATAACTTGCTGCAGCAAGAGGACGTCCCATTGGCACTCATCCGAAACGGATTCATGAAAAAAACCACATCCTCGAGAGCTGCCCCGCGGCAGCTGGCAGTAACGGCGTTCAGCGATTGACCGACCTTCTGTCCCCAAGACTTGGTGCAACGTCGTCGAGCTTCGCAACGCATGATTTCGAACATCCTCTGTACTCTTACCGACCCCCTCTTGGAGGATGCCGTTGGTCTGGACATCCGGCTAGCTGAGATGCGCAGCGAACTGGTCTTCACGCGAAGCAGGCTGGCCAAGCACCTGCCATAGGCCACAACATTCCTTTGACCCACCACAACTGGAAAACCAATGTACTTCTTAAGGGAAACAATAGTGAACCGCTTGTCTGTATATCCAGCCAGAGACAACACAGCTGCCACACTCACCAGGGAGGGCATGACATGGCGTTGCTCCGTTCTATGATGTGGCTTCTTCCAAAATTTGAAACCATGGAGCGGAAGACATCCAACACCACCACCACCAGAAAAACTGATAACGCCCGATCACCAGCAGACCCCACGAGATTGAACCTTTCCACGCACCCACGATGTTTTCCCAGAACAGTCAATACAACAGGAACGCCATGCATATGGAGACCCGCGCTTTTCCCAAGAAGGGCGCATCACCTGCCGATCGGAGAGGCGACCTTGTCCAGATACGGCACCATCCCATCCTTCCAAGGGGCGCCAAGGAAACCCCCTACCACAACCTGGGGGCAAGTATTTTCCTGTGGTGTAGCATGTCCAGCACCATGCGGCGCTATCGCAGCAGTGGACGCAACACTCGCTGGCCGAGATCTTGACGCAACTGACTGTGCCAAAATCATCGTTTCCGTCGCCGCCCCCTCCGCTCGTGTAGCCGCCTCCGTCGCCTTGGTCTCTTGTACTTTCTGGTGACAGCCACCAGCAACATCGTGCATGCCCATCCTACACTACATCAAATCAGTATTCGCCACCTCGCCTGAAGAGCGAATTTGGCCAAGTCATCTCATCAAAATCTCACATGCGGGTGATGGTGCCGTCTCTTTCACGTTCGGCCATCTCTGCAATAGGCCACGTCGGACCGGCCGCGGGAAGCGGCAAGGCAACTGGCAACCAGAACCGCCTTGAACCACAACGGAATCTGTGGGGAAGGCGAGGAGTAGAGGCGGGCAAGGGCGAGGGGAAGATAGGTAAGGTATACGGGGCCGAAGCTGAGAGAGAAGAAAAGCTCTGAGCGAGTCGCAGCTGCTGGAAAGCGTCCCGAGAATGGGAAGCCTCTGGAAGCTTACGAAACTTCTGGAACACCTCGAGCCTCGATCGTCGCCGTCGACGTCTAGGCTCTATCAACCAATGAACACCATCGAGCCACCTTGCAGCTGGTAGAGGAGGAGGACGATGCCGATTGGGGGTGAAGAGGAGGAGGAAGCCGAGGAGAAGGGCAGCCAAAGTGGTGGCGCCCCCCCCCCTCTCCCGGGCAGGATCAACCCATATCGAATTGGGCAACCCATCGAATCGGAACTTGAGTCGGACAACCGCACAGGCACGGAGTCGGAATCGGATCGAGTTGGATGGGCTGCGCCAGAGTGTACAGCAACGCCATGCGAGGAACACCGGGCCGCATCAGACCGTCGGAACACCAGAGCCGATTCGCATCGGGCCGGCCAGAATCGACATCGAATCGGATCGAAGCGGGCCCTGCCACGGGACAGGGCTGCCCGCCCTGACATCCGACGATGTTATATGTTGTATTCGCGGCCCCAGCCCTAGAGGTCCCGACCCCTTCACTGGGGTAGCTGGCTGTTGCTTTCGCGAGATCCTTCCCAAGAACTGTTTTCCGTCCCTGTCCCATTCCTGATTGCACCCGAGACCTTTAAACGAACCCTAAGGGCCGAGACCGAAAAAAACACCGTGACTGAATTCATCGTATTGGGGCTCGGAGCACGGGCAAATCAGATAACGTCAACTCAACGGATTTCCTGGGCCGCGTCCAGCTGCGGCGACGATGGGCCCCTCCGGAGGCCAACTACCGTTGTCTCAACTCGCCCTCCTCTGAGCATCTCCCCTGAACCTATTACCCCCTAACATTGCCTCTGAGAACGCGCTCCTCTGACGAAGAATACTTTAACGGGTACTTTGAGCAGCGACCCAGCACACCCAGCCCTTCGAATTGCGGGCAACGCTGCAATGACGGAAAAAGGCCATCAAGAGGCAACTTCCGGCGGGCTTGCACCCGTCAGTGGGTAATCTCGATTTCGGTGACTCCGAAGCGTGTCGTTTGCAAAGGGCGCGGCTTGCAACCCACACCCTGGAATTCTCCGCGGCGCCTCAACGAGGCCTTCGCGGTGCCCCTCAGGCCCCAACGACGCAGATCGCAAACTACACCCCGGCGCAACCGCACCCCCTGCAATCTCCGACCGCTTCGGTCCCGCTGCGCCCCAACCGCCCCCCTGCGGCTGGCGCCTCGGCCGGCGGCGGCCCCGCCGCAGCCCGCGCGGGCGCGGGCGCACCCTGCGCGGCCTGCGGCTCTGCCTGCGGCTCTGCCTGCGGCTCTGCCTGCGGCTCTGCCTGCGGCTCTGCCTGCGGCTCGCCGTCGTCGTCCTCAACGTCGGGGGGGTCCTCTGGCCGGCCGCAGCAGGGGTCCTCCTCCTCCTCCTCCTCCTCCTCCTCCTCCTCCTCCTCCAAGCTGCTGCTCGCAAAGCTCGTTCGGGCGTTGGCGGACCTAAACAGCACAGTGTACCGCACGTGCGACGTGGCCGTGGACTGCGACTTCGTGGTGCAGAACGAGATGGCGGGCCAGGACTACAACGATCAGTCACAGCTCTTGAAGCAGCGCCAAAAGGACGGCGAGGCGGTCGACTTCGCAGCCAGGGGCCCGCCTTTCGTGGCGATCTTCATGCAGGTGTTCCACTGGTCAGCGACGATGGAAAAGAAAGCAGAGCAGAAGGAGCCGTGGATGACTACTACGGTGCTCAAGATGTGGACCGAGAAGTTGGCGAAGATATCGGTTCAGGAGGTAGGCTCACTGGTGCTCCACTGGCAGTGGAAAAGGAACAAGGCGAAGCAGGAGAGCGGCGCGAGGGGCAAATTGATCTACGCGATCGACTACACCCACGAGATGGGGCCAGCGCTCATCGCCCTGGTGGAAGAGATGCTGAAGTGCTTCGGCGCCGTCCGCCGCATCGGCCCAGCCCCGCGGGGCCCGCTGGAGCGGAACGCAGCGAAGCTGCTGGCGGAGCTCAGCGGCAAGTAAGACAAGGAATAGGTAGCAACAGCAGCAGCATGCAACTTGCAACCGTTCCGTTGTGAATCCTCGGATCTGCGGGGTGTCAGGAACGTGGAGAACCTTCGCGGGAGTTCGAGGTTGGCGGAATTAATTCGGCGAGGTGTGGCGTCTCCTGGCCCAAGAGTTTCCAGCACCCCCACGATTGGAGCGAGGGGCGCTCTTCTAGAGAAACAGGCACGGGGAAGGGCAAGAAAGGGAGAGGAGGTCGGTAGCAACCCGTTGGTCCCTAAGGCGGGTCCTCCGCAGGCTGCGTGCTGAATAGAGGGCGCTTGCTGGGGCGGTGCGGCGTCCGTCGTGAGCCACGGGCCGCACGTTCGAGGCTTGGCGATAGTTTCGCCCCCCAGAATTCCCCTGCACTTTGAAGATAGGTTGCTGCTCGCAGGCGCCAGGCAGACTTCAGAATCGAATTTCAACGGGCCCGATCCCGATCCCGATCCTCCTCCTCCTCCTACTCCTCCTCCTCCTCCTCCTCCTCCTCCTCATTATCATCCTCCTTCGAACTTGACCGCCCCCGGGGCTGGCGTCCTCCGCCAGCTCGGGCGGGCTGCCAGATTCCGCCGGCTCCTCCGCCGTGGCCGGCGTGACGGTCGGCCTCACCTTGGCCTCCGCGGCTGTGCGGGGGGCGCAGCCAGCAGCCCTCGCCAAGCCCCACTCCACGAGGAGGCTGTCATCCGCCTCAGTCCTCTCTCTCTTCCTCCTCCTCCTCCTCCTCCTCCTCCTCCTCCTCCCCTTCCTTCTCCTACTCTTCCTGCTCCTCATCCTCTTCCTCCTCCTCCTCTTTTCCTACTCCTCCTTCCTCCGCCTCCTTCCCTCCCTCCTCCTCCTCCTCCTCCTCCTCTCCTACTCCTCCTCCTCCTCCTCCTCCTCCTCCCTCCTCCTCCTCCTCCTCCTCCTCCTCCCTCCCTCCTCCTCCTCCTCCTCCTCCTCCCCTTCCTCCTCCTCCTCTCCACCTCCTCCTCCTCCTCCTCGTCCTCCTCCTCCTCCTCCTCCTCCTCCTCCTCCTCCTCCTCCTCCTCCTCGTCCTCCTATTCCACCTTCTTCTTATTATGCTCCTCCTCCTCCTCCTCCTCCTCCTCCTCCTCCTCCTCCACCTCCACCTCCTCCTCCTCCTCCTCCTCCTCCTCCTCCTCCTCCTCCTCCTCCTCTTGCTCCTCCTCCTCCTCCTCCTCCTCCTCCTCCTCCTCCTCCTCCTCTCCTCCTCCTCCTCCTCCTCCTCCTCCCCCCCCCTCTTCCTCCTCCTCATCTTCCTCCGCCTCCTCCTCCTCCTCCTCCTCGCTGTCCTCCTCCCCCATCCTCTTCTTCCACAATTACTCAATATGAATACTACTCTCCCTCTCCCCCGGATGACGTCTTGGGAATAATCGCCCCCCCCCCGCGAACTGTTTTTTACATTCAAGATTCCCCGGAGTTGAGTTTTCGCGTGCATTTTTGTTCCAAAAATGCTGCTCTCGCTGAGGCGCCGGCCTCATTTTCGGGCCCCGCTCGTTCCGAATCGTGCTCCCGCTGCAGCGCTGGCATCATTTCCGCCAGCGCCTGGGCTGCACGCCCGAGCGAGCGCCCGGGCCGGCGCCCGGCCTGGGTCCGGAGCCTGTTCCGGCCGGCGCCGGAAAATCGAGTTCCGAGACGGTGCCGAAAAAAAGGCCATTCTAATACACATTTTTTGCTGAAAATGCTAATTTTTTTCTTCCGGCGCCCGGGAGGCTTCCCGGGCCGATTCCGACGCCCAGGCCGGCGCCCGAGCCGGCGCCCGGGCCAGACGCCCGAGCCGGCGCCTGGGCCGGCGCCCGGACTGGGTCCGGAGCCGGTTCCGGCCGGCGCCGGAAAATCGAGTTCCGAGGCGGCGCCGAAAAAAGGCCATTCTAATACACATTACTCTTCTGAAAATACTGAATTTCTGCATCTGGCGCCCGGGAAGCCTTCCCCGGAGTTAGGTTCTCGCCTGCATTTGTTCCCAAAATGCTGCTCTCGCTGAGGCGCCGGCCTCATTTTCGGACCCCGCTCGATCCGAATCGTGCTCTCGCTGCAGCGCTGGCCTCATTTCCGTGTTTCCTGGGCCGATTCCGGCGTGCTTCCGCTCGTTCCGAATCGTGTTCCCGCTGCAGCGCTGGCCTCACTTCCGCGCTTCCGCTCGTTTCGACTCGTGCTCCCGCTGCACCGCTGGCGTCATTTCCCGTGCCATGCCACGCCATGCAATGCAATGCTAGGTTGATACTACGCTTCGCGGTGCTCTTCTACGCCATGCCATGCCGTGCTCTACAATGCATCGCGTACCCTTTCGGGATCGTCGCCCTGCTTGACATCCGGCTGCGCAAGTAGACAGGAAATCTGCGCCATGGTAAGGGGTGGGAGGGAGGGGCAGGATGACAGATATGACAAGAGCGCACCCAGCTTGTCCTCCTCCCCTCCTCCTCCCCCTCCTCCTCCTCCTCCTCCTATCCTCCTCCTCCTCCTCCTGCCTCCTCTCCTCCTCCTCCTCCTCCCTCCTCCTCCTCCTCCTCCTCCTCCTCCTCTCCTCCCCCCCTCTTCCTCCTCCTCCGCCTTCTCCTCCTCCTCCTGTTCCTCTGCCTCCTCGTCCTCCTCGTCCTCCTCCTCCTCCTCCTCCTCCTCCTCTTCTCTTCGTCTCCTCCTCCTCCACCTCCCCCCCCCTCTTCCTCCTCCTCCTCATCTTCCTCCGCCTCCTCCTCCTCCTTTTCCTCGCTCTCCTCCTCCCCCATCACCCTCCTCCTCCTCCTCCTCCTCCTCCTCCTCCTCCTCCCCTCTCCTCCTCCTCCTCCTTCTCCTCCTCCTCCTCCTCCTCCTCCTCCTCCTCCCCCTCTTCCTCCTTCTCCTCTTTCAATTTATCTTCCGCTTCTTCTTCTGCGTCCTGCTCCTCCTCCTCCTCCTCCTCCTCATCTGCCTCCTCCTCCCCCTCTTCCTCCCCTCCTCCTCCTCCTCCTCCTCCTCCTCCTCCTCCTCCACCTCCTCGTTCTCGTCGTCCTCGCCCCCCTCCTCCTCCTCCTCATCCTCTTCGTTTCTCCCTGCTCCTCCTGCTTCTGCTCCTCCTCCTCATTCGCTCACTTTTTCCTCCTCCTCCCCTCCCGCGGCCCCGGCACACGTCCACCTTTGGGACGAGTGGCCACCGGGGCCAGGCGTGCGAGGCGAGTCCGAGTCCGCCGCCGAAGGAACCGTCGAGCCTCGAGCCGTCTTCGGGCCCCGGCTGGGCCGGCTCAGCCTGCGGGAGAAGGAGCAGCAGCAGGAGGAGGAGGCGAAGGGGGGGGAGGCGCAAGGCCCGCGCGGCTGCAGGGGCGGCCCGGCATGGGCGGGGAGAGGAGAGGGGAGGGGCGGGGCGGACGGGGGCGTTGGCAGTCAGGTCGGAGGTGGTCGTGGTCGTGGTCGTGGTCGTGGTGCTGTCGTGCAGGCGTGGTCGTGGTGCTCGCTGGCGGTGGTCGCGGTGGTCGTCGTGCTGGCGCTGGTCGTGGTCGTGGCGCTGGTTGTCGCGGCGGTTGCCGTCCTTAGGGTCGTCGTCGTGGTGCTGCGGATGTGCTGGTGGTGGTTGTGGTCGCGGCCTTACTGGCCGATGGCGCTGAGCGCCATCTCGGCATTGCCACGCTGGAGGTGGTGGGACAGCTGCCGCCACACTCTGGCGAGCACCTCGCCCCGCTCTGCCTCGCCGAGGTTCTGTCCGTAAGCCCGGATGAACTCTGCGGCTTCGTCTGACGGGCGGCCCAATGTCTCGAAGACGAATGGGGCGAGGTCTCACCCACTCGGGGGGTATCTGTCCCGCTTTTCCCGCACCACGGCCGCTGCGGCGGCGCCATCGTTGTTGGAGCGTGCTTGCCTGCGAGGGGCGTACTCAGAGTATTCGCAGGTGGTGCTCCAATCAACGAAGACGGGCCGGCCCGTGCTGGGATCTGTCGTGGCGACATCTAACTTGGCTGCTTCCAGCAGGCCTGTGCGCCGGTCGACGCGGTCCCACGCAGGGACAAGCTGCTCTGTGGTCGCGGCGAAGCCTGCAAGGCTGGCGTGCAGCTTGGCATGCCAGTCCCGCGTGCGGTCGTGGCGGGCCGTGCGGGACTGATCGACTCCACAGCATCTCGCGTGCCACCCTCGCCTGTCCAGTGGGGCACCGCAGATTGTGCCGCCCTGGCGGCGGCGCTGGCACGCGGCGCCTTGCGGGCAGACATCACACCGGAGGCGCAGCTTCACAGAGGTGATGAAGCGCCTGTCGGGCATGTTGGGGTCACCTTCCTCGCTGCGCAAGACGAAATTGCAAGCTCCTGTCCCGCCAGCGCCGCGGAGTGCCAGGCGGTCCTCCTCCCCGAGCTCCCGGAGGAGTTTTGCTCTAGTGGCCGCAGAGCGCGCCATGCCCCACGTGCCTTGCAACTTGGGCGTGGGCTCCTGGAAGCACCCCAACCAATCGAAGTCGCCGCCGATGGCCCCATGGGCCCGGAGGTCAGCGTCGGCTTCCACGATCGCTTGGTGCGTCAGGGGGCATTGTGCCCGGAAGTCTTCCCAGCTCTGGAAACCGGCGGCGCGGGCCACTTCCTTCGCGGTGAGAGCCCAGCTTGCCGCGCACGCTGCGGAGGAGGTGGCCCGCGCGGAAGGCTAGGAGACACCGCCGTCTCTTTGAGGCGCATCGTGGCCTGCGCGCGCTGCTGCGGGTCGAGAGCGGCCCCGATGAGGTCTTCCAGACAGCCGAATATGATTTGATCGAGCTGGTCCACCCAGGACAGGTCGCGGCTGGCTCGCAGGCGGTGCGTCGCGGCGCCTTGGGCGCAGGCGCGGAGCAGCGTGAAGGTGGCCCCAGCTGAGAGGCTCGCTGCACGTAGCTCGCGGAGTCGGTAGCCGAACCTGACCGCTTTCGCCACTGCGGCGGCGCCGTCCGCGCCGGCGTGGACTCGGATCCGCTCCCCCTCCTGGTCCAGCCACGGCGCCGCGTTGCCCAGACACTTTAGGTGCGGCACCCGGCGCTCGCTGAGCGTGTGGGGAAGGGCCGCGTTGGCGTCCTTTGTCCAAGCTTGCGTTTTGTCCTGTTGAACCTGTAGTCCGTGCCGGAGAAGCGTCTCCGCGACGATCTGGTCAGCGGCCGCAGCGCGCTCTAGGGGAGTGAAAACCATCACGTCGTCCAAGTAACTGAAGATCTTGCAAGCGGGCGAGAGCGTCTGCAGCGCGGCGTGGATCTCGTCCAGGGCGCCAGCGATGGCGATGGCGAACAAGGCAGGGGACAAGGGGCAGCCTTGGTCGACTCCGCTGGTCGCCCAGACCCGAGCGGCGTCTTCGGTGTCGTTCCAGAACAGGTGCGTCGTGGTCCGCGGCCGCCGTCGGGCCGAGGTCCGGTGCTCTCGCCGCCGCGCTGTCCAGAACTTGCTGCCGGGGCACACGACTGAAGGCGTTCTTCGCGTCGAAGGCCAGGATCACTCCTCGCGGGCTTGCCTCCGCGAGGGCAGCGATCGTCTTGTGGGCTAACTCACAGCCTGCTGGCCGGCCAACAGCACGTTGGAAACGGCCACACCCCGCTTCGATGCTGTCCCCGAACACCGCGCAGGCCGCCCGCCCCGCCAAGCGCCGCAGTACGCCGCCACAAGCGATTGGGCGGATGCCTCCATTCGGTTTGCGAAGAGCCACGAGCCGCGCCCCGAGGTTCGCTTCCATGGCGGCTCCTGGGCTGAGCTGCCCGTAGAGGAACAGCGCCACGACTCTGGCGCAAGCTTCGAGGGCAGGTGTGTCGCACAGCAGGGTACGCCAGTGTTCAAAGCGGGAGCCGTTAGGTCCAGGACCAGACCGGCGGGGAGCGCGGCGGACGTGGTCTTTGACCGCGGTGAGCAATTCATTCTGCAAGTCCTCGTCAAGTGGCTGCGGCGCTGGACCGTTCCAGGTGGCAGGGGCCCCCGTCGGGAAAAGGCTCTCCAGAGTGGCGCAGACGCCGCTGCCCTGGGCTGGCGTCGTCGGGCGGGCGACGGCCGTCATCGCCTTGCTGACCAGACCCTCCTTCACCAGCGTCTCTGCCTGCTGGGCGGCTCGCTCTGGCGTGGGCCGCCGGCCGCTGCGCCCAGGCGGGCGCGTGCCCGGGGCGTGGGTCGCCCTACAGAAAGCGGCCCAGTCCCCCCGCTCAGCCAGCCTCAGTCTGCTGATCAACGCCTGGCTGAGACCCCGCCCTTTTGTCGCCTTGCCGCCGCGCTGTTTCTGGTTCCTGTGGAGCATGAGGCGGTCGAAGAAAGTGGAGAGCTTCTCGGCGCGGTGCTGCGTGGTGGCGTCGCCGGCGCCGTAAGCGTTGAGCAGTGTCTGTGCTATTCGGCCGCGCAGCGCCGCCAAGGCCCGTGCCGTCTCGTCCGGCACCTTTACCACCGTGGGCACATCCTGGGCGAGGCTGTCGTACGACACAGAGTCCCACCAGGACAGATTAGACAAATCTGCCTGGGGCCCGTTCCCCGCGTCTCCTTCTAATGTTTCGGGCAGCTCTCCCGGGTCGCCGTCGTCAACTCCCTGCAAAGGCGCCCCGCCTCCGTCCGTGCCCTGCTGCCGTGCTCTTTTCGCGCTGCGAACGTCTTCGACGAACTGCTCGCGGGTGGGTCTCCCAGGCCTGTCGCAAAGGTCACGGACAGTGTCCTTTTGGGCGTCTGTGAGCTGATCGGTGCCCGCGACGTTGTCGTAGGGCCCTAGGCCGCCCTCCACGCACTCAGGGTGGTAGTACAGTTTGTGCGCGAGGGTGGAGCTGAAGGCCCGGAGGTCTCCCCGCCGTATCGGCCCCTTGCACGACTCCACGTGGCAGTAGCAGCACCGGCGGCTGGCGAGCACGTCGACGCCCCAGCTGGTGACCCGGAGTTCCCTGGCTGCTGGCCGCGGCTCCGGGTGTGGCGCCGGAGGCGGCGGCCCCGCGTCTGGAAAGGCTGGTCACCACCACGCCGCCCCGTTATCCTCCTCCTCCCCCTCTTCCTCCTTCTCGTCCTCCTCCTCCTCCTCCCCCTTCGCCTCTTGGTTCCCCCTCCTCCTCCTCCTCCTCCTCCGTTTCCTCTTCCTCCTCCTTTTTCTCCCCCTCCTCCTCCTCCTCCTCCTCCTGCTCATTCCCCTCCTCCTTTCCCTCCTCCTCCTCCTCCCTCCTACTCCTCCTCTTCTTTCTCCTCCTCCTCCTTCTCCTCCTCCTCCGCCTCCTCCCTGTTCCTCCTCATAATGTTCATCCTCCTCCTCCGCCTGCTCATTCCCCTCCACCTTAGCCTTTTCCTCCTCCTCCTTCCTCCTCCTCCTCCTCGTCTTCGTCGTCTTAATATTCTTTGTATTATCATTGTTATTATTCGTCTTCTTCTGATTCGTAGTAGTATAAGTATGATTGCTCTTATTCGTATTATTATCACGATTTTTTATGATTATGATTATTATTATCA